ATACCTAATTATAATGTGTATCACTCAATTTTACTGTTGATTTTACGCTATCACGTGACGTCGTAATCCGACTTTCCAGATCATCACACTGTAGTTTTCTGAATCCATATCACCACTATCTGAAACTGATGACGTAGTACGCAGAAACATGACATTATTTTTCTTGTGTGTTAAAAAGTCCCTTGTTATTATGCTTTGTTTTAGGCACAAATATTATACAATTCATCTCTAAATTTTTATTTTGCTGTATTTAGCTGGTTATAGAGTAAGTGTGTACATAATAAATTTATCATTATAACAGTAACCTGATCCGAATCGACGTATCATGCGTTATGGTTACTATAATTTTCATCTGACCAATTTTCGTAATTTTGGGTTATGCGGTCTAAAAAATTTTCGAATATTATGCTACCCTGCGTTTCTTTTCCCTGTCAGTATTTTCATTTAAGTTCGCTATTATTTCAGCATCATTCATCATTATTTGCATATCAACTAAAATTGTTTTTTTTTAAATGGTGTATTTAAACAAATGTACTTATATGTTACACGTGAATAAATATTACGGCTGTGTTGTTTAAGTTGAAGATTGGATTGTTTCTTGTTGCAGCATTTTTATTTTACCATAATCCCTTAGTTAAACTGAATTCAATGTGTTTTTATTCGTGATCAATCAGCTATTTTTTTCTAAGTTACATTAGGTTTCGACATAATTAAACGCTTTTATATTTACCTAGAACCGTGTAGATTTATCAATGATATTAATCAAACTGAACATTAAAACAATTCAAGTCTCAGGGCTTGGGATTTTTCTGCAAACACAGGTCTATAGAAAAGTATGTAGTCCAAACGGTGTGGAAGATTAAAATTTCTGACGACGTCAAAGGGTGACGAGCGACCCATTGACAATATGTAGTGGATCAGAAAATTTCCTCAATTTCGACATACTGGTGTTGTAGAGTAGGATTTCACCCCAACTTTCTTCCGGAAATCGTACTCTAGAGTAAGATCCCCCCCCCCCCCCGAGGGGAAATCTCACACATAATTTTCCCCTCTTTCTTCTTTCAGAGTAGCACATCTTCTTGTTTTAGAGCAAAAATAAACCAGGGCTGGGTTTCACAAAACTATCATATTTTAAGATTTGTCCTAAGATAGATCTTACGATCATCTAAAATATCTGATTTATGACAATCATAAGATTTGTCAATGCTGTTTCACAAAACTATTTTAAGTATAAGAAATCTAAGACAAATCTTAAGACGAATTTCATTCTTCAATTTCACAGAGAATTTAAAAAAAAAATTTGCACGAAGTTTAGTTGCCTGTTTAATTTTGCAGATATGCCCTTAAACATTTTATTGCATCAACTTTAATATTATTTGTGTGTGTTGGAGGTTGATTCATGAAATTAAATTTGAATTAATTTCATCACAATCAAAAAATTAAATATTTTTTTAAAAAGTCTTCTTGCTCAGAAAATAGTAGTTGCTGACGAAATTTATGTGATGCTTTTTTCAAGTAATGCTGCTAGTGCAAAAAAAAAAAAAAAAAAAAAAAAAAAAAAACAACAACAACAAACAAACATGACGCTATCCTAACATCCAGACATGTCTTAAACTTATTAGAGCCCGACACTATTAATGAGGCATTTGGTCAGTTGCTCATATGTCATAATTAATTAAGAGTGTTTCGGCAGTATTAAAAGCATACGTCACTTCATATTTGTCTCTTAAAAAGATAAATATATGTGAATGTGTTCGTGAATCTCAAATGTCTTTAATAAAACGAACAGAAATAGAAGTGTTTTCAAAAGTGTATGACCTCGCTCATCCATCATATGACGTTATTTAGGTGCGGCGACTACCATACTTGCACTTTGTATATAATTCGATATTTTTAAAAGTTACAAGTAAATTTTATTTGATTTTTTAAGGACTGTTTTTTAATTATTATAGCTTCGATCATGTATAATTTCGTTAATTTACGTCGACTAGTAGCAATTTTATCGAAGTTGTGTAATTACTTTTGGATCAACCCTCGTACATGGGCCTTTAGAAGCATTTTTTTTTTTTGGGGGGGGGGGGGCAATTTCATTTGGGAGGTGACACAACCGAAGAAAAAATGCATTGGAATTAATAGAAGAAAACATAAGTATCTAGGTACATTAGAGATAGAACAATCCTTTGGAATATACCAGGCCAGACGAAACAATGACACCCCGCAAAAAAAAATAATTATTTGCCAATTAATAAACGATAGAAAACCTTAAAAGTATATAGGTACATTTTAGGTTTTCTATCGTTTATTTATTGGCAAATTATTTTTTGCGGGGGGGGGGGGGTCATTGTTCCGTCTGGCCTGATATATTCCAAAGGATTGTTCTATCTCTAAAGACCATTTATCTTTAAATATCCTTCTGTTTTTAGCCAAAATATATAGTATCGCCAGTTTCACTTTAGACTGAAGGACGTTCGATCCTGTCTTTTGAGTCTACTTTGGTCTGGACCTTTTTTTTCTAAAATTCTGCACCATTTCTAAGTTTTAACATCAAATCTGGATTCTACGAGGAAGATTGAATGAAAAAAAAAAAACCGAGATTTAATTCCATTCAAGTGAGATAGTGCTAGGAACTATTTATATATTTTGTGGCGGAAGGTTTTCTTTTTTAAGAAGAAAATGATTAATATTTCCCTTTTGAATTATATACAGTTACTGTACTGTTAATTTTAGTTTCCTATTTTTCCATGCTGGTTGCACACAAAGCTGTTTTTTGCAGTTAAATGTATTATACTGGTTCTGGAATATCTATCAAATTATTTCTTATGATGATTTCTTTCAACAATTTATGACAAATATGATAAAATATATATTCTGAAAGTCCATGAAAAAAATAGAGCCATTTTAATATTAAAATTTTACATCATATACCCCCGATTTTGGTGTTCTTTTCTGAATATTTAAAATATCTTTGACCTATCTGCATAAATTCAGCAAATGTTAAAGACTTTGAAATAATTTTCTTGCTAATTAAATTTTCAATGTCAGAAAAATCACATTTTGTGAGTGCAGAAAGGTCAAATAATTGATTATGCCTAGCAATTTGATATTTTTTTTAGTTACAAATTTAAAGTGTCTTTCTAGACTTATAGTTTATTTTGTTACATGCTTTATTTGGACAGAAACGTCAGTGCAAAAGGTCATTTTAAATGTACTGTAGCGCCAAAAGAAACATATTGACCCCCATTTTTGGTTTTTATTTTCAACTAAGCTACAGGTGTAGAAACTAAAAATATACATGACAAAAATGTTTAAGACTTTAAATATCAGGGGCCGATGTCGACTACCCCGCTTTAAAATCTGTCGACGTTTCCGATCCCGAGATACAGAAGTTTAGCAAGTAACAAATTGACATGATAAACAAAATACACCCTTTTTTAATCAAATTTTAATTTAATGTTATCTAAAAACAATTGTTAATCATTTTGATACTGATCTGACGTTTCTGTCAAATTGTTTGATTGAAAATATTTAAATGTGTGGACAGTGTCAAGGTTCAGTTTGATGATATTTTATGAGGACATATTATCACAACTGGGCTAATCACATTATGGACCCCAGTCTTAAAACCGTTTAGACCTAAAACACGAAAGTTTGAGGATGACAGAGTCCCGATGACATTGGACCATCATGCATTTGTTTTACAATGTATAACTCGGGATCTTTGGCTATGCCTGTGAGACGATACATCAAACGAAACAATTCTTGCCATCTATGATTTTGTTTATGCAAAATGAATTTTGGCTATTAAAGTTCCATTTCCAAAATAGGCGGACCTTTCCTGCCTCCCATCCTGACCTGAGCAGCTCGCAGGAGTTGGAGAATCGAGATGTTACCCAACCAGTAAAAAATGCAACCAAGACAGTCACAATTCAGCTTTCCCCTCTTTATTTAATTAAATAATATATTTTCATTATTTAAAATTGCAATAAATAATTTTACACAAGATACTACACATTACAATTATTACAACCACCTATATCATTTAACCTGTAAATACAATAAGCCATGTGAAAATGTAATAAGTTTACAAAGCCGCACAAGTCTACAAAATAATCTCACCTGTATAAATGCAACCAAGAAATTCACAATTCAGTTTTCCACTGAAATTGTGGCTGCCCCGGTCGCTAGTTTTATGCCTGACGCTGTACATGACGGATTCCCATATTTGTTATTCCTTTAAAATTTGCAATAACTACCTTTAATTCTTATCATTATTATTCTGTCTTCCGACACTCTTAAATTCCTAATGCACTTTGAAATTTACTCCCAATCTTTTGCATAATCTTTAAATATCATTTGTTGTAGATAATTCATGAGAACACCTGAATTCTGGTCACTTTATTCTATTGGTTGCTTCTTCGTCCTTATTAAATACATCTTTCGATAAACAAGTAAAACTTGAACCGTTACGGTGAAAAGATCAACCCCAGTGGCTAGCCTCTATTTTTTTTTTATATCTTCAGAGCTCGCATCTGTTATTTCTCTCTCCCTGCGAAATATTGCCAATCCACAAACATATGTCATTCTTATTTTTAATGCAATTTTTGTTATGATACTATCAAACAAGTGTTTATATTATTAATGAGTGAGAATTATAATTCACGTTTATTATATTTTACACTCTATAATGAAACAATTTGACTAGTCCTTTATTGCCATATCCTACCCACAGTGAAGACTTGTTTAAGGACAGGGAGAGTGGATGGTTCACTTCATTTTCTGTCAGTAAGAACTTCAGGAACTCCCCGTCAGGACTCAGTAGATGGATCTGTTTGATGCTAAAATCAGTAACAAGGATGTTGCAGAGGGAGTCACATGCCACGTCATCTGGATTTAAGTCCTCTGTCAGGTTCCGCCCACGATAGACAGACTTACTACGACCAGAAAGAGACATAATCACTAGATCACCTGTTTTGCTACTTGTACGGTTCACAACACAGATATCACTTACTGTTCTGTATGATTCTGCCTGGAAACATAAACAGTCTGGTCTGACCGTCCTCTTGGTACTCATACTCGTGGATGACGTCACCTGTCATTGTGATGTGTCTCACCAGACGTCTGCTGCGTGACTCTAATTTATAAGAATCTAATTCCTTGCCTCTCAAGGTTACCAGTAATCCACCAAACGCTGACTGACAAATTCCTCCTGCTTCCAGTGGATCTGTGCTGATGACTGTAGACACAGATCCTGACGGTGACAGACGGCTGATGGACTTATTTTTTATGTCAGTAAAATAAACATCACTGTTATCAGTCACACATAGGTCCGTAGAAATGATTTTAAATCTCTGTTCTTTTGCTCCTTTCTTATTAACCTTTTCTGTATATTTTGAAACAATATCGTTATGTAACATTTTTCTTCACTGAATGCCTCCAACACATATATTGAACTATCTCCGTATTGAAATGAATTTCTTAATGTCACACTTATATTATCTAAATCCAAAGTTTTTCCAATCGTACACTCGAGAAAGTCACCATTAATTTCACCTGTAGTAAATCTCACTGAATGTTCATGGTTTGTCGTTTGAATCTCTAATTCAGACAGCAGTTTAGTCAGTTCTCTGTGGTTGTCAATCAAGCTGTAATCTGACATGGTGCTGTTGTTCTCCTCCATAAATTCCACTGTATCAACAATTCTTCTCTTCTTCTTTTCTAGCTCAGATTTCACAAGGTTTAATTGATCATTTTTTGTAACCAAATTGTCTCTAAGTGTTTTTTCATGACGTTTCTTGATTTTTATCATTCTGGCCATTATCTCATCACAATGCTTCTGTAGCTTTTTTATCTCAGAATCGCACACTTCTCTATTTTCTGTGACCTGGTTTGAAACATTTTTTATTTTCCCGTCAATTCCAGGCAGATTCTCTCTCCTAATTTTCGTCAGCAATGTAAGCAATTCTCTTCTCCTTTTGGTGGCCGCCGTGGTTAGAGTTTTCCAGTTATGATCTCTATGATTTGATTTTGCACAATCACCACAAATGAATTCATCACAGTCCTCGCATATAACATCAATAGGTGAATCATGGGTGTCACACATTACAATGTGCTCTTGTGGAGAGCCCAGTGGATATTTTTTGGTTGTACGGGCAGCCATGTTTGTAAGTTGCTGCCTACCTTAGTGGCATTTGTTTGAATGTGGATGTTAGATAACCACAAAGATTGTGAAGTCGGACTTTAAATCTTTTCAATAAAACATTGGATGCCTAAGAATTATAAACACGCAGGTGTATACAAATTCAATATTAAGAACATATGCATTGGAAGTCAAAACTTATAGATGTTGACAAAGATTGAGGATTACATGTACAATTATTTATCATATATATATATATATCTTGAAAGCCTCTGCTCAATCAAACGTGGAAAGTCCGGATGGTCAATACGTATCTTTTTTGATTTTATGTCAAATGATTGATGAGACACTTCATCTTGTATATACTGAACTTTATTCCTTTTAACATTTAGCCTTAATTTATCAAGGAAGATGTAAGAGGGTTGTCCAGAAAAATGGTGGAAAAATGAATAAGAACAAGGTGTAGTTTCCATACAAATCTTCCCTGTGATTTTTAAAAAAAAGTGAAACTGGTGAAAAAGATGGAAACTAATGCTTTCTGAATCATTTAAATTCCATGCAAAAAATTCATACAAATCATTTTCTCAAATGTGTATTTTAAATGCCAAATGTGACGTCATAAACATGTGCATTTTCCGGTGTCTTCCCGCTTAGCCAAAACTCTGAAAATGTTACCGGTGATTGGTTTTGGCTAGGTGGGAATGGTGTACAGGTAAGGGGAGGGAGAAAACAAAAGAAATTAATTTCAGGTGATCTATAGTCTGTTTAAGATTAACCATATCCTAATATGGAGACGTCACCATTGCCGGTGAAGGGCTGCAAAATTTAGGCCTAAGCTTATTTTATAAAAAAATTTAATGATTGATTGATTGTATACTGTTTAACGTCCCTCTCCAGAATATTTCACTGATATGGAGACGTCACCATTGCCGGTGAAGGGCTGCAAATTTAGGCCTATGCTCGGCACTTACGGCCTTTGAGCAGGGAGGGATCTTTATCGTGCCACACCTGCTGTGACACGGGGCCTCGGTTTGTACGATCTCATCCGAATGACCGCCTCATTTAGTCGCCTTTGACGACAAGCAAAGGGTTCTGAGGATCTATTCTAACCCGGATCCAAACGGGGCAAATTTAATTGCCAATCTTAATATACTTTGTATCACAAATATTTTAAAAATACATGTGAATGAAAGGTACGGTATTATAAATGTCTTTAAAATCTTGAATTTAATATATACTGTAATCATGTGTTTAAACTTAAATGTGAATAATTGTAATTATTAAATTATTAAAATTAAATATCACATTAATGGAAAAACAGGGAAAAGATGACGGATAAATTAATATGTAAAATTGTTTATTTTAAAATAAACTTTTTTAGAAATAAATATGCTTATATTAAAATGTTTTGTTTGAAAAATATGTTAGAGCAAGATATTCTCTAATAGATACTCTATTTTATCATTCAAACATTTTTTTGTTCATTAAGAATTGGTTTGAGGATATTTTATTGAATGAATACTAAAAAAAAAATTTGAAAACAAGTTCTAACAACTTACGAGGTTCTAACCATAAAATCCTACAACTGTCAATGTTTATACATGCATGACATGGGAAGAAGAAAAAAACCTATTGATATAAGAATTGAATATAAGTTTTGCATGGACACTTTATGTATTTCCCAGTTTCCCATTATAGAGCACCTAATTACATGTACTTATAAGGCTTCACCTTGCATAATCAATTATCTCCTGGACCCTCGCCAGACTTAACGCCTGAAGGAACAAAGACAAAAAAATTTCACACTTCCATGTAGCGGTTAATTGGTAGTTGCATTAAAATAGATTGTATTGGTTTTTTGTTTAATATTCAAATATGTCTTTTTTATAGAGCCACGGCTCTAGAATTATGTTAGCACTATAAGTCAAACATAACATCGTACCGAAGTCATTTAATTGATGTAAATAATTTGCTTAAAATTTTCCACATGTTTAACAAGGAACTCTTAAAAGTATTTAACTATTCTGAAGTTTCTCTTGTTTTTGTAATTCGGTTATTCGGTCCAGTACTAGATAAGCAATTTTTTCATTGTCTAGTTATTTCCTATGTTGGTCCAGTACTTGATTAGTCAGATTTTCATTTTCTAATTAATCCATATGTTGGCCCAGTACTTGATAAGTCACATTTTCATTGTTTAGTTATTTCCTATGTTAGTCCAGTAAATGATTAGTCATATTTTGCATTGTCCAGTTATTCCCTATGTTGACCCATGACTTAATTAGTCACATTTTCATTGTCTAGTTATTCCCTATGTTGGTCCAGTCCCTGCTGTGTGAAAATGTCCAGTTACAATAGTCCAGTATGGAAACCCTGTGTACAATGATCACTGATGCCCCAAACATCATTGTCAAACATATGGATACAGTGATTCAACAACTGCTAAAACTTTCATCATATATACAAACCATCAATGGTAGGTAAACAACATTGACATCATACAAACCATATTAACCAGCTATGGTTATGTGGTATTTACATTTATAAGCAGACCATACTCTCAATTTTTCTTAAGTTTTTTTAAGCTTACTTAAGCTATAAAAAGCAAGCTTATTCAAATATTAGCCCCTGAGGTAGATTTTTTGTTTACATTAGGATACTGCTGTTTCTTTCAAAAGAAAGCAAAGCCATGTTCAATTCAGGTAAGGTTGGACCCCAATAAGTTTGATAATGGGGGAAAATCTTGTTAAAAAAAACAAAACAATCAGGCCAACGTTATTCAGGTCAGGTGAGTGTTGTGGTCCAGGGGCCTCTTGTTTTCCAGGTTTATAGTTTAATTTGAAAAAATGATATAAATTCAAAATCAACAGATAAATAATATATATTTTTAATATTACAGAAGATAAGATGTGCGGCTTTGAGGTGTTTACATGAGTTGGTGTGTCTTCCCTCCCCTGTGATCTTGCCATACAGACCCACTGTGATAAAAACCCTGGAGGGAGTCCTGGACGACAAGAAGAGACTTGTTAGACTAGAGGCTGTAAAGGCCAGGAATGAATGGTGTGTATTGTCTCGTTATAGTTTATAGAAAATAGTGGTCTTTGTTGAACTATAGATGAATCAATAAGTCAGATATGGAGTAAGTGTAAAACCAGGAAGTGTAGTTAGCCTGTTAAGACCGAGGGTTTCAGAAAATTGAAAATCTTTCACATTTCATTAACCATTTCATGCTTTAACATCCATACTTTTCCACTTGTCTTGAAATGTTATGTCCTTAGCTAAACACCATTGCAATTGTCGCTGTCAAGCCCAACCTACATTTTATTACATGTATTAGATCTGATCAAGATATTATGACTAAATTCGTCTGTCCTTGTTGCTCTAAAAATATATGTACTATAGATCAGTCACAAATAGAAATGAATCTTAAGTACCACAGACGAGTAAGGTTGTTATTTACTGATGATGAGTTTTTTCTTTTTCAGGTGTTTGTTGGGACAACCTGGAAGCACTACTTGATGTGTGATTATAGAAATGATGTGTAAATAAATGTATTTATAATGATAAAAAAATGTCTTACTTATTATTAATTTCATGAAAACAAGAAAAACAAAAGGAAACAGAAATGTGTGCCAGGCATGGGAATTGCTTTTTTCACTGCAGGCTTTCTCCACTTTTGTGTAGCACTGTTCTTCTTACAAGGACTAGCATGTGACTGATAAAGGATATATGCACAAAATGTGTTATCAAGCTAACAAAATTCAAACCAGAGGTACTATGAGCACTGAGCTTACTAAATGATATCCCTACCTCCCATATAGTTCTAATGACAAAGTCCATTTTTGCTCTAGGCTACCCCAGGTAATTGTTGGATCAAAAAGTAAAAACAGGAGGTGCACAATGGCAATACGTATTTATAAATCATTTAATTTTAATCAGTGGCTTAGGAGGAGTTGCAGATAAGAGATGGGTACCTTTCAATATTAAAGAAAGATAATGATAATGTCCATGATTTGCATTGGGAAACCCAAAATATATTTCGGATCAAAAGTAAAATAGAAGGTGCTCAATCGTAGTATGTAACACAGATTCGATGAAAGTCTTATACAATTTCACTCAATGGTGTAAGAAGAGTGAGAGATGAGTACCTGAATTTGTAACAGACATACAAACAGGTAGACTGTTGGATGGTCTGATGTATGAAATACCCATCACTATATACCCAACCACTTTTCAAGTTAGGTAATTATATAATTAAGTTCCCTTACCGAAAATATTGCTTTCTTGCAAATATTTGTCGCAAGTCTGCAGCAAACATTGCTGCAAGCTTGCGGCAATGTAGCTAAAGAAAGCACGACAGTCTAAACAAAGACTTTGGTGTTTGCTGCAAGTCTGCTTTTTTATGAACAGAACATACATGAAAAACTTTACATATAATTTTTAATTAAATAATACACTGGTTACAGCTACTTACTCATTTAAAAACATTTAACTGATTTTGGTCCATTAATACATTCAAAAAGTTGACATATGTGATTTTAAAATGAGGATTGAAATTCAGATTTAGATTTACATCAGTTACTCAAATATCCTTTTAAAATTTTTTTTCCTATCAAAATAAAACAAAATCAGATCTTACCAATCAGATATTATGGATGCCAATGAACACCTATATCCAGAGTTGTTCACTTTGAATCATTCGAAACGGTATATATTCGTAAAAAAAATACTAAAACATGCACAACTTCAATTCAAACATTTCAAAATGGCCAGTTCTGTGTTGACCCCAGTACAATCCGCGTTTCATTGGCTAATTTGACTTGTTTAGTATTCTTGCAAACTTCCTGCAAACATTCAAATCATAAAATTTTTCCTGCGAACTTGCTGCGAACATAAAATTGGCGTGTATGTGTCTTGCAATCTTCGTGCAAACATTTTGGGTTCCTGCGAATTTGCTGCAAGCTTGCAGCAATTGCTGCAATTTTTGCCTGAAGATCGCAGCTAGTAGCAATCATCTGCGAACAAGAAAATTTTCTTCCTGCGAACAATTTTGTTTGCTACTAGGGTGCAGAAGACTTGCTGCAAGACTGCAGCAAGCATAACATTTTGGTATTTTTTTTAGTTTTAATTAACCTTGTACCTTTGGAGAGGGTCTAATATTAGTTATGTAGACGTTTAGAGGAGTAATACGGAAATATGTGTGGGTCCTTGAAAAAATCCATATTGGGCGAGGCGTAAGCCGAGCCCAATATGCATTTTTTAAAGACCCCACGTATTTCCGTATTACCCCTCTAAGTGTCTACATAACGAATTTATCCTGCCGAGGGTTCTCTAAAAGACTAAATATCTATAGTATCGATAAACCACTTTCACTGAGCGTCCAAGCAAGATGTTCTGCATCCATAGCTGTCGTCAGACGCATTGTGACGTCAGTTATGAAGTTCCATGTGGGTCACGTGAAAGCAGTATATTGATGATGTGTGGTGGGTAGGTCACGTGGAAGGGGCACATTAGCAATGTGAGGTGGGTAGACAGCATTACATCGTCATGCAGTATTGCTCTCAACCAATGAAATTTCACGATTTTTATCAGAGGCAGGATAAATAGACTATGCCTGCTGCCCAATCAGTTTATGTTTTTCTTACATAATAAAATATGTTCTAATGAAAAATCAGCTTGGTAAGGGAGTGTATTAATTTAAGGGGAAACCTCTTCTCATCACTCAAGTGTTATGATTTTATTTTTGTCATCATAACAAGCTTTCCCTGCAATATGTATGGATAATATTGTTTTATTATACTTTTTTGAAAGTAAGTTACAATCAAGTGTTGAGGGTAATACTGACATTGGTGAATATAACTCTATACAGTCCCAGGTGTTGAGAGGAATACTGACACTGGTAAGTATAATTCTATACAGTCCCAGGTGTTGACAGGAATACTGACACTGGTAAGTATAACTCTATACAGTCCAAGGTGTTGGCAGGAATACTGACACTGGTAAGTATAACTCTATACAGTTCCAGGTGTTGAGAGGAATACTGACACTGGTAAGTATAACTCTTTACAGTCCAAGGTGTTGAGAGAAATACAGACACTGGTTAGTATAACTCTTTACAGCCCCAGGTGTTGAGAGGAATACCGACACTGGTAAGTATAACTCTATACATGCAGTCCCAGGTGTTGAGAGGAATACTGACACTGGTTAGTATAACTCTTTACAGCCCCAGGTGTTGAGAGGAATACTGACACAGGTAAGTATAACTCTATACAGTCCCAGGTGTTGAGAGGAATACTAACACTGGTTAGTATAACTCTTTACAGTCCCAGGTGTTGAGAGGAATACTGACACTGGTAAGTATAACTCTATACAGTCCCAGGTGTTGAGAGGAATACTGACACTGGTACGTATAACTCTATACAGTCCCAGCTGTTGAGGGGAATACTGACACTAGTAAGTATAACTCTATACAGCCTCAGGTGTTGAGGGGAATACTGACACTGGTAAGTATAACTCTATACAGTCCAAGGTGTTGGGGGAATACTGGCACTCGTAAGTATAACACTATACAGTCCTAGGTGTTGAGAACAATACTGACACGGGTAAGTACAACTCTATATAGTCCCAGGTGTTGAGGGGAATACTGACACTGGTAAGTATAACTCTATACAGTCCCAGGTGTTGATGGGAATACTGGCACTGGTAAGTATAACTCTATTCAGTCCCAGCTGTTGAGGGGAATACTGGCACTGGTAAGTATAACTCTATACAGCCTCAGGTGTTGAGGGGAATACTGACACTGGTAAGTATAACTCTATACAGTCCTAGGTGTTGAGGGGAATACTGACACTGATAAGTATAACTAGATTCAGTCCCAGGTGTTGGGGGAATACTGGCACTGGTAAGTATAACTCTATACAGCCTCAGGTGTTGAGAGGAATACTGACACTGGTAAGTATAATTCTATACAGTCCCAGGTATTGAGGGGAATACTGGCACTGGTAAGTATAACTCTATACAGTCCCAGGTGTTTGGGGAATACTGGCACTGGTAAGTATAACTCTATACAGTCCCAGGTTTTGAGAGGAATACTGAAACGGGTAAGTATAACACTATACAGTCCCAGGTGTTGAGAGGAATACTGAAACGGGTAAATACAACTCTATAAAGTCCCAGGTGTTGAGAGGAATACAGACACTGGTAGGTATAACTCTATACAGTCCAGGGTTTTGAGAGGAATACTGACACAAGTAAGTATAACTCTATACAGTCCCAGGTGTTGAAAGGAATACGGACACTGGTAAGTATAACTCTATACAGTCCAAGGTATTGAGAAAAATACTGACACTGGCAAGTATAACTCTATACAGTCCCAGGTGTTGAGAGGAGTACTGACAATGGTAAGTACAACTCTGTACAGTCCCTGGCGTTGAGAGGAATACTAACACAGGTAAGTACAACTCTATACAGTCCCTGGTCTTGAGGGGAATACTGACACTTGTAAGTATAACTTTATACAGTCCCAGGTGTTGAGGGGAATACTGGCACTGGTAAGTATAACTCTATACAGTCCCAGGTGTTGAGAGGAATACTGACACTGGTTAGTATAACTCTATACAGTCCCGGGTGTTGAGAGGAATACTGACACTGGTAAGTGAAAATATGGTTATAAAACAATTGGAACAATGAACAATGTATTTAGTCATTCAGAATTTGACATATTTGCTAATGCACCTAAAATGCACAATCTGCAATTCTAAATAGTACTTTACAAAATGTAAGACATTACTCTCCCCGTCTGATATCTAACTTAAAAAAGATATCACTTTTCATTACTAGCAATTAAGACTACCAATTCGGTCACAGGGCGAATGTACGTCACCGGTTTTTCACGAGTCAAATGTTTTCCTGAAACACACACCTCGACCTTGCGTACTTTTTCGTCCGAACTTTGGAAAACTTTCGTGATAAGTCCCATTGGTCACTCTGTGCGTTTTACTTGAGAGTCTTTTAGAAGCACTATATCGCCAATTTCTACGTTTCTTCTGTCGTCGGACCATTTTTGACGCAACTATAAACTCTGTAGGTAGCTTTCGCGCCACTTCTTCCAGAAAACGTCTGCCAAGTATTGTACTCGTTTCCAATGCGATTGGTAAATATCTTTACGTCCAAATGATACGTTTGGAGTAAGAAAAACGTTTGGTTTTTGTGTTAGTATCAATGATGGGCATAACGGAAATGGGTCTTCTGGATCTGTTGATATGGCTGAAAGCGGTCTCGAGTTCATGATTGCGCAAACTTCTGCTAGGAAAGTTACGAGAACATCATGGGTAAGGTCCCCCCAGTGTTGTAACACCATCGAATCTAGTATTCTTCTGGTGACACCAATCATTCTCTCCCACGCTCCTCCCATATGAGATGAATGCGGAGCATTGAAGATCCATTGAATGCTGTTATCATTTAGATATGTGTTCACTGGGGTATCTCCTACATTGAAGCAACTGAGCTTCAGCTCTTTTGCAGACCCTACAAAATTTGTACCACAATCTGAGCGAATTATTTTTAT